TGTACATATAGTAAATTTGTGTTTAGTAGTTCTTTAAAGTTCGCACTGAACGAAACTAAATCAAAATGTTCCGACAGCTGCTCATATTTTTACCATTAATCGCAGTTACATTGGCAGCAAGTCTTGGCTATGATCCCTATATTGATCTGCCACACTTAAAACCTGTTAAAACTTCTGTAAGTACCACAGAATAAAATATAAGTATATAAAATGATGCTACATTTTGATATAGGCAGAACGTATAGAGGAACACGGTTATCCAGCGGAATCACATTTCGTAGAAACTAAAGATGGTTATGTGTTGAATATGTTTCGTATACCATACTCCCCAAAATTGAATAACAAAGATAAGCCTAAGCCAGTTGTATTTATAATGCATGGACAATTCAGTTGTTCCGACTGTTATTTACTAAATGGTCCTGATAATGCTTTGGCTTATAATTTTGCTGATGAAAATTACGATGTTTGGTTAGGTAATGCACGTGGAAATATTTATTGCCGCAACAATACAAAAATATCACTAAACCATCCAAAATTCTGGGAATTTAGTTGGCATGAAATTGGTAACATTGATGTACCCACTATGATCGATTATATACTGGATTTGACAGGAGAAAGTAAAATTCATTATGTTGGCCACTCACAGGGTACAACTGTATTCTTTGTTATGACATCCACCAGACCAGAATATAATGACAAAATAAAAACAGCTCATATGATGGCACCGCCCATTTTTATGGGAAACTGTACTGATGATCTTGTGGTTCTATTATCTCCATATGTAGGTACACCAGGTGTTGGTGCTAACTTACTAGGCAATCAGCAATTTGTGCCAAGTAACCCTTTCATTCAACGTATATTAGATACTGCTTGTGGTGGAGATCCTACATTTCCAGAGTATTGCCAAACATTATTCTTATTGTGGGCTGGCACTGAACAAGTTAATCTAAATGTGGTAGGTAGCAATCATCTTTATGAAGATATTTTTTTGAATTAAATCTTATACTGTAGATTTATAGTACCTAATTGTTTTTATTCTTATAGACTTTATTACCACAAGTTGCAGAAACGCATCCAGCTGGTATATCTACGAATCAGGGCATACATTATATACAGGAATCTGTGTCAAATCATTTTAGACAATTTGATCATGGTCCGAAAAAGAATCTTAAACGCTATGGTCAAGAAGTTCCACCAGATTATAATTTGCAAAATATTGTCGTAGATATGTATATATATTATGGATTAGCAGATACTTCAGCTAATGCTAAGGATATTCAGCGACTTCCAGAACATTTGTCAAATATAAAACATTTTTACGAAGTACCTAATCCTACATGGGGCCATTTAGATTTTATATTCGCTAATCAAGTAAAGGAAGAAATGAACGATAAAATAATAAATTTCTGTAATAAGTACGAGCAAGTCGAAGCAAATTTATAATGAAAAGCTTTTATTTTAACATAAAATAAATTTTTCTTAATCATATCAAATTCAAAATTTATCAATAGTATCAAGTTATAAGATAATTTAAGTTATACTATTTTGATTTATTATCAAAAAAAGTTTAATCGTTTCTATAGGTAGTAAGTCTTAAATCTTATCTGGAAAATCTTATTGATACTAAAAAATACAAATGTCTGAAAAGGTTTGTTTATAGTCATTAATTGATAGAGATAACATTGCTATGGATGTTTTGAGTTTGTTATTATATTATTTCAGTGTTCATATCTAATTTTACTTAAGGGAAGAGATTAGTCACAGAAACTTAAAATCAAAAGCAAAACAGGGAATATACTTGACTCCAGTTACAATAAAGCTAAGGGAAGATGAGTATGCTTCATGCATAAATTGGATACTTAACGTCAGCCAACTTCCGTTCATTCAAAATTGGTGGCCAGCTTAAAGAGGTGAATTTATTCAAAATAATAATAAAAAATATTAAAAATATAATAATAAATTTTAAAAAATGGGATTTTAAAAAAATTTCGTGCCCAAGAAAAGTATTCGATATCTGTACAATTGTCCAACAGCACATACAAAACCTGTGCTGAAGTATACTAAGACTTCATTACATTAATATAATAAAGTTTCAGTGACTTAGTACCATTAGTGAGTGGATATTACAATTATCAAATAATATAATCTAAGCACAATACAATGGATTCATCAATATTTTCTAGCCAAGGTATTTTTGGATTCGATATATATGGGGTCTAGTATTGTTATTGTGAAAATATATTCATTGTTTCTAGAATATTTTCGGGGTGTTTCATTTAAATTCTTTCTTACGCGATATTTGTTGACATTAGAGAACTGATGCATACATTTGAACACAAAAATCTTAAAGAAGTCTAAACAGTACAAACGCCTAGATATCAAATTCTTCAAAAATTAATCTATTTCGTTCTGTTTCATTATCGAAATTACTTTATTAAGCAGCCAAATATCGAGCTTCAGTTGCCCAGTGATGTCGCAATAACTGTTCACAAGTTTATCTTTTTGATCCTTTTCCATACATTAATGAAGGTTTTCTGCGAGGTACTAATCAGTGTGATCAGTACCTATGACATCTGATCAGTATCGAAATCTTCAACACATAAAGACTAAATTAGTTGTGCTATAAGAAATCAACTGACCCATTCTAATTTATGGAAAACAATGCATTTGATGATTTGTGCTGAAGTGAAAATATGGAAAATCCCACGAACGACCTTCGAATTTTGGTTTCTTAATAGGGAAAATCTTATTTTAGGTATTGCAAATATTGATATTTATTTAGCTGTATTCTTTTTCTTATCGGAGTAGAATCGGAGTAAAATAAATCGATTTTTTTTAAAACTTTTTAGTTTGGTAATGGGAATTATTTAAAAATAATCTAATTTATAGTCTCTATAAATATTGTAAAATAATATTATTATTATTAATATTATACTATTAAAATATCATTGTACTTCAAATTTACGTCACAGAAAAACGCCGAACACTTTTTGCCCAAACCAAAATACTAAAAATGTAAAATTATTATGCGTACTTTCAAAAACTTTTATATATTATTTAGTATATATAATAAAGATTAACCATTCACGTTCCTCACTACTGATAGAAACTTAGGAAAAAAAATGCGTTAAAAATTAATTATTTTGTTTTTATTAACAATTTGCATTAATCTAGTAGATAAGATATTTTAATCAGGCTCTAATCAAAGACCCCACTTGTAGATTGAAAGCAAGAATTTGAAAATATTTAATTCATTGCAATTCTGAACAAAATTTTTAGTAACTCAAGCAGTATGAGGACATACGCACTGTTAAATACATTACTTATAGTTATTGCAACAAGTCCTTTTATAATCGGAAATCCTTTAAATTATGGCTGGGAAGACGAGTTTTTAAAAACAACAGTAAATTAAAAATTTGTTTTAAATTCATTTTAATGAAAATAATTTTTTTCGTATGTATAGGAAGATCGGATTAAAGAACATGGATATCCAGGCGAAACACATAGAGTCGAAACTATCGACAACTATGTAATAACAATGTTTCGCATACCCTATTCACATAAGCTAAACAACCAAAATAAGAAACGCCCAACAGTTCTTCTACAACATGGTCTTTTAAGTTGTTCAGATGGTTGGATATTAAGTGGACCTAATGACGCACTTGCATTTCTTTTAGCTGATGCAGGTTATGATGTATGGATGGGCAATGCTCGTGGAAATCGTTATTCACGTAATAATACCCGCTTATCAACATTACATCCATACTTCTGGCGTTTCAGTTGGCACGAAATTGGTATTAATGACATATCTGCGATGATTGATCATATTCTTCAGACTACTGGAGAGACAGCAACGCATTATGTTGGACACTCACAAGGTACCACTGTTTACTTTGTGCTAATGTCATCTCGTCCGGAATATAATGAAAAAATCAAAACTGCACACTTATTGGCACCTGTGGCTTTTATGGGTAACATGAAAACAGTGCTAGCTAAATATACGAGAAGATTTATTGGTCGTCCAAATCAGTTGACAAGAATGTTTGACACAATGGAAATATTGCCTAGTACATTGTTCTTTAAAAATATATATGATATCTATTGTATGAAGGATCCAAAATTGGCGTATATGTGCAAAAATTTATTTACTTTATATAATGGCGAATTGGGCAGGGACAGCAATATGAATATGGTAATTTTCAATGACATGTCGATAAGATTATAGCACTTTGAAATTTGGTAATATAAGTATTCTAAAAATAGTGAAGATAATCATTTTAAGTGCCTTTGTGTATTATTGAATTCTTGTGTTAAATAATTTCGTGGTGTTAAAAAACTTTTATTGACAAAAATATTATCTAAAATATGTTAATATTTTGTTTATTATGCTTTCACAGACAGTGAGTGATCGTATGAATGAGACCCATCCAGCAGGAGCATCTTCAACGCAAGTCTTGCACTATATGCAGGAATATGAATCAGGACGTTTTTGTCAATTGGATTTCGGACAGAAGGAGAATTTAAAGAAATATGGTCAAAGTACACCACCAGATTACAATTTAGCTAATATTGATCCAGATGGATTACATTTCTACTACTCTGATGAAGACCAGTTGGCTTCGGAAATAGACGTTGAATATTTAGCTGCACAATTAAGTAAAGAACCAAATATGTTTCATGTACCAGATCCAACTTTTACTCACAGTGATTTTGTGTGGTCTAATCATGTTAAGGAGATGATTAACGATCGTATAATTAACGCTTGTAATTTATATGAACAATCATAACTTCAAGCATTTCGGATACATACATATATCAGGAGTGCGTAAATATTTCTAATTATTATTTTATCAATTTCGGTTATTTTTAGTGTAGGAATTCGTTCACATAAATATAATTTATTCTTATCTCAAGTGGCAAATTATGTATGATTATTTTTCAAAACATGTATAAAAATGTATTTTATAAAGTATTTATGAAAAGTAGTCATTAATTGTAAACAAAGAGGCCACGTTTAATGGTCTACAACCTATCGAAGTGTTTTTAAATCATATAATATGTTTATAACTTTTTAAATTAATGTTATAATATTAAAAAACCAAATGTAGTATAATTTTAGGCAACACGCCTGAGGAGTGTATTACCTCCTTGACTTCGACATTCCTGTGTATTCTGTGTTCTATTTAATTATTTAGCTTCTAACTACAGTAAGGTTGGTCAGTATTTTTGATAGTTTCAGTTTAAATGAAGTTTCTATTAAGCTAGAAGTTATTATTAAAGTTATGAGAATGATTCTATTAATCTCTGTTAATCCTATTAAACTTGTCTATAAAAACCAGTCTTCAAATTTCTATTTGAAAAAACATTTTACCTTTATATTTAGTATTGGCAGCTAAATAGACAACCAGAGACAATAAGCTACATTCTATGTGACTGCTCAGCTTTGATCTGGGCCAGGAGGAGATCACTGGGTCGGGAACTCACCTTCCGACATTAGGAGGTCCTCAACAACCGACATTTTAGCCTTCATTCGAAAGGCGGAATGTCTTTTCTTCAGTTAGGGTCTGCTGTAGCACAAAAGATCAATCATGGTCGCGGTGCTCTGCTCAAATGGGAGCTAGTTCCCTGTTCTTTCTTATTCTTATTCTTAGTATTGGCAGCTACTACTAAACTTATCAATGTGATATTATTTTGTTTAATTTTATCCTAAAAGATTAACAATAATTTGAGACCTTACTAAAAGTGCACGAGGTAAGTAATCAGGACTATCGATTCACACATCTATTCTAAAAGAAAAGAATTAATCGTAAATTGTGTGTAATGTGACAGCTGTTGTACCACTTATTTGACTATAAAATATAGATTTTTTTAAATTTGTCACAGATATGGTATTTTCATATTAGCTATTAACTTAAATTATTTTATTTGAAATAAAATTAAATAGGAATTCAAAACTTCAAGTTCTTCAATACTGCAAATAATAATAATTCTAAAAAGTTATCAGTTATATTATAGAACCAATAGTAGTTTAAATAAAAAACTGAAAATAAAGAACTATTTATCTGTTTATATATTTTTGTCAGTCTGATCTAACTAAACTTTGATCTTTAGTTTTTCCATTAATATTACAATTTAAGCAAAACAGGTGGATAGATATATTTTTGGTCTGTCATATAAAACACAGAACAATATCTTTTAAGTCGAATTAATCAAAAATTTCTATATTTTTCTCGTACAATAATATGCGAGACCTTATACATATATATGAAACTATTCTTAAATATATAGATTTTAACGATCAGTTTTAATTTTTCCAAATCTCTGACAATATATTCTACATATCGAAACAAAAACTTTTCTGCTTACTATATATGCGCATATATATTCACATATATAATCTGATATATATTGATATAATATATCAATATTATATTGATAATATAGGCTGGTTCCACTTATAAGTTCAATACTAGAGATAGTAAAATTATGTAAATTTATTCAGGAAATAAAACTTTATATGTTTTATGTAAATAATTAGAGACTTTCATTAATTGTTATTTCTATATTTACTCCGCAATCATAGATTATACGATCTCATAGATTGACGAAAGATTTCTTTCTTTTCTCAGGTACTTGGTTTAATCTTCTGTCTAACAATCTAACCACTCTAAGTACAAAGTTACTTTTTTCCTGTCACTTTTAAACGTTTATTGGCTATCTTTACTAGTTACCTTGTCCTATACTAAAGATGTTAAGTTGTTTAGTTTCACAGCTGTTCCGATGACGAACTTTATTTGACCGGGTTTCAATGGTTCATTTCACACCATTTCTGTTATTTTTTGAAGTTGGAATATATATATGTTTTGTATTATATATACAAATATATTGATGACAAGGATAAACTGATCATTAACTGATTATAAACTGATTGTACAAGTTGCCTAATAATAAATAAATAGTACTCATATGTTGATAAATCTTAAAACCCTATTAAATCGCCAGTGCCCACAGAAATACGATTTTATTCCATTTTCAATTTACCGTAAACTTCGTATTTCGTAAATTTCATCTATAGGTATAATAACTTAAATCAGGTATTTCATTATTTGGTCTTTATTTTCGGCTTAATTTCTATAATTAGCTTAAAATAAATATTACAAATAGTATACACTCATTCCTTATAGGTAAGATTAAATTTTTACATTTATGCATTTAGGTCATAAATGTTACTTGTACTTTGCACACGAACACTTATTCGATTAAAATAAAAATATTAATTTAAACTAACTAATGACTATGACTTCTTGTATGGAGTTTAAGTTTTTACCCCCATGGTATAGGCTAATTGTACTCATAAGTAATAAGCGACTTAACAATCTTATCGAATATGAATTCCCGCACACCCAAGCCACATATAAAATCAAAGTGATTCCAACGTTTCCATGGTAATTTGTAAATGGCATGTAGACTACGAAGTCGTAACATAAGTTTCCAAATATCCTCCACAGATACAATATAATCGTTCTCTGCATAGTAGATTGTGATGGGAACAGTAACTAGTTCCATGCAGTACTCAGGTGGTTCCAATTGTTGATACATAAGCCAATTCTTTTCGGGACCATAATCGTATTGGCGAAATTTTGTGGAAACATAACCTTGAAAATAGTGCATAATTTGCTTAAAGGAACCACCAACAGGAAAATTTGCCATAATATCTGGTAACAAAGTCTGTAAAAAAGAGTATATTTTATTTTGATATACCATTAATATAATACATTAATATATTTGACTATATTATATAAAGTTTTACCTTATTAAGATGTTCAGTGTCATAACCTACAGCTGGCCATAAACGACTTACACAAACTGAAGGCCTTTCATTCTCCAAACAAGCCATTGACAAAAATTGCTTGACTATTTTATTCGTTGACACCATTTCAACACCTTCTAATAGTTTTGAGATATAGTTACGTGTGCCCAAAATTGGACCAAATACCTTTGCTAAGCTGCCTTTTGTATTGCTCACATAAGCTACAGGCGCTAACAAAGTGGCAGTCTTAAAAACGGCATTGTATTGTGGAAGCATAGAATTCAGCACTAAAAAGACCGTGCCTCCCTGAGATATGCCTGTAAAATAAATGGTAACAGTAGATATATATATTTACATAAAATATTTAAAGAGTGAATGGTAATAAATATATTTTATATCAATACTAACCCACAAAATGCATTTTTGGTTCACCAGTTTTTTTAATAATATACTCGATCGTTGCTGGCATGTCGTATACACTCATCTCATGCCAACTGAAATCCCAGAACTCACGGTCTGTGGTATTATACCAGATATTTCGCCTACAATATATATTCCCTCTATTGTTCCCCAGCCAAACATCAAATCCGCTCTTTGAAAGTAAATATGGCAAGGAGTTCTCTTGTCCGTTTAGCAGCCAAGCATCTGAGGACGCGTAAATACCAGCAAGTAAGAATACTACTGGTCTACGCAGCACTGTCTTCTGTATGGGATGTAAATATGGTATACGGTGGAGAGTTAGGATGTAGCCATCTTTGGTTTGTACGTTGTGCTTTTCAACAGGATAACCATCTCGACGAATACGCCTTACCTGGATTTAAAATAAAATACAAAAACAAATTATGGACTCAAAAATGAAATATCAATTTATATAAACAAAAACTGTGTTGCAGTATAACCATTATAACTACACAGTTCCACCAGCAAATGTTAACTATCGGTAACGATTTTCTTGACAAAAAAGTTGGCGAACAAAACTTGCTGAAGAAAAGCTATCAACTGGAGCTTCAAAGGGACGATAGTGTGAAAAGGACAATTTATATCACTGAGGTATTACAGCACATATTGTATAGTGATAAAAACTTTTTCGCTATATAGGCTACGTCAATAGACACATAAATCTAATTTTGTCAGTTTGTCGTTAAAGTCTATTTATTTGTATTCCATTCCATATAATTGTCTATCCAATTGTCGTTGTTGAATTTATTTGGCTTTCACCAATTACTGATTACTGATCACCGATTCTTGTTTTCGAGAGTAACATTTAGATATAGCATACCAATAAATCATGAGTGTTTTTTTTTTTAATGAACAGCTAATATAAAATTAATCAAGTAATGTTTTTGGTCAATGATACTTTTTTCTATGAAGAGCCAATTATCATTTTCCATCCATAACTTTGAAACTATTAATAGTTGTTTTACAAAAACGGAAAGTTATCAAAAAATAGTCGGAACATCTTTACATTTTGACACATATCTAATGATAGTTTGAACTTTGGCACTTCGAAATAGAGTTTTTTTGAGAAACCTATATTATTATACAATATTGGTAAAAATATGTATGGCATACTATTTTAAATAATGCACTAAAGTGACACAAACAAAAAATACTATTTAGTACTACATTATGCTTATTTACAGTACTATTTTTAGGCATGATTAGCTTTTAGTATCTAAAAAAAATTTCAACAAATAGATACTTGATAATTACTTTCGTGATAAATATTATTTGATTTATGTTATAGGTTGGTTCAGCATTAATTATTATAAATTTTCTTTAACGCCACAGAGTTGAAAATATAAAAATGTTTATCTGATAAATGTTGTCAACAAATCTCCTAAAAGTGCTGAATAACTTATTCCACCAAAGGAATGTTCTACAATTAAAATTTATATAAACCAATTCATAAATGTGAAAAATAGAGTTTAAAAACGGTTTTCTCATTTACCCAATAAATTTCTTAAGTGCCCTAATTAATCAATATAACTGTGCACCGCTGACGTGTGGCGATGATGTTGACATTGTCGACACAAACACCTGCATCATTGTGGGGACTACTTAGAAAAACAAGCAAAGTTAATGCGTCATGTGGTAAGGACAAAACAAATAACTTTCAGTCAAAGTATCTTGGGATCCACATCACTGTTGATAACAGTAAACTCAAAGAAGTAAAGCCTTGCTTATCTTAGAGCCACTGTTAAATCCAGAAACGACGACAACACTCTTCAATAAAAAAAACACTCTTACCAATAGATGGTACTTCCGTCTAAATAGACAATTGATTAAAGAAACCCTCTATCGACGAAAGAAAATCATGCTTTTTAAAGCCTTTTTTCACGCCTTTCATGCTGTACTATATGTTGCAGTATTATATATGATAAGGAAGAATAAGGAGCATACGTGAAGAAAATTATTCGAAAGATCGAAGCGTTAGAAACGAGTATTGAATTAGATGAAGTAATGTGCTATATAAGGTAATGAGACTTCAATATACTTAAGTATTTTAAAATTGAGCGGACTTAGCTAGTCATGTCATGTGACTGAATACAAATGCTTAGGCTAGAAAGATGTTTCATTCAATACTCGCTGTGGAGTAGAGGACGTTTGAATCTTCAGTGAAAGGTCGAGGAGGCATATTATTTGAAAGTCCTCAATATTACTAAGCGGTGATAGCATGGGATTGAAGGGCTGACGAAAGGAAGCTGTTAGAGACATCCAAGGGTGATTCATGTCTGTAAGGGCTAACTAAATAAATAAGCACTTACAGCACTTTTTCAAACTTATAAAACTAACATATACAGCTGACTATGACATCTACAAATTTCAACTAAGTAAATCAATTATTTAAGTATGTATTTGAAGTATTTCTAAAAGAACACTAAGTACCTACTGGTTTATTGTTTATTATTAATATTTGTATGGTATATTTAGTGACATTATTCAAATTTACGCAGTTTCTCAAATGACAGTAGCTTCTGTCTGTTAAAGAGTTCCATTATTTGTGATTAATAAAAATCATTTATATTCCTTCAAAATAATGCAACTATAAGTACTCCATTGCCTTTCAATAATCCACATCTGTAGTATATATTTCAAAACCGCCTTTTATGAAGGACATTACAATATTGAGTTAATACTTTTATTGCAAACAAAGAATAATAAGGATTAAGGATTTAGTTTAGTTAGTTATAAATAAGATTCCGTAATAACAATATTAAAAGTAAAAGACTCTATAGACACAATATTATCCCACGCTTGGCCATCAAAATTGATTGCTTTAAGACAAAAAATGTAGCAAGTATTTCGATTATTTTTGATTATGATGAGCATTTTCATCTGTGCAAATTATTTTTTTTACGTAAAAAATGGGATTCCATACAAGTCTTAACAAAGGCAGTTTAAGTCTTCAGTCTTAAATACCCGTTTAAGAAAATTTAATTTTGGATTGAATTGCCACCTGCATCGAACGCACACCAAAATATTTCAGACATGATTTTCGGTTATTAAGAGAAGAAAGTGATTTCATTCACAGTTTACATAAGATTTCATAAGACAATTTCACTAAAGTTCAATTGCAAGATTGCGTATGAAGGAACATCGGTTTCGGTATCTTATGCAAACGAAATCTTTAACAAGCAAACATTGTCTTGTTTAATGATCACGTTTGCTAATTGAGTCAACGAAAATAAAATGTATCTCGAGCTTAGCCTATATAAATTACAATGGTGTATTTACATTAAAAGTAAATATCGAAAATATTTTCAACAATTTTTATAATATTTGCCATTATTTTCAAATTGAAATAATATACGTAGAACTTTCTTTAGTATTTCCTTTAGAAAATAATAAATTTTTTAATGTAATTATGCCCAAAAATTTGATATACAAATTTTTTCAATTGAAGTGATTGAAGTCAGTCTATAACATTTAGTTTTAAATAAGCACAATCATAGTCTCAATTGGACAGGATACATTTATCACAGCTTTCCTAACCACAGCTTTCCTCACCACATTTTTCCTAACCACAGCTTTCCTAACCACAGCTTTCCTAACCATAGCTTTCTTAACCATAGCGCTCTTATCCTAACCATTTGTATCTAGAAACTAATGTGTCTCTAGCTATTTAGTTTCAAAATGATTGTTAGAGAACCGAGTTCCAATATTTATGATAAGTTAGATTTGTCTATAATGAAAAAGCAAGCTTATTGAAATGTATAAAAAATAAATAATATCTAGAAATATTATGACAGAAGTTGTATCTAACGTATACAAATTTAATTTATATCCAAATCAATAAAATAAACTAATTAAACTAAAATAAACTAAATCATGAAATAAACTTTTATTATGATTCAATTTAGGCTATATGTTCACTATAAAATAAAGAGGCTTTTCAAAAACTTACAACTTCTTCGAGACTTGAAGTCCCAGAGTGAGGATATGTGCATAGTATCTGGTATATCTGTACCGACGACTATAGTTTGACAGTTTAGAATGTAAAACTGTGTTGACATTGCTGTTCAGTGAGATTTGATAATTTATTATGAATCAAATTGTGGAAATTTACTTTGAAAAAAATAAATCTATTCGCGAAGTTAATACAGCACTGCGTCCATTTTACGGTCAACATAATCGGCCTAGTGAGCAAGAAATTGGTATAGTTATTGATCTTTAAAGTTATTGAACATTATTTTTCTCGATTTAAAACCATTAAAAATCACTATTAATTCCATTGAAATTGACTGTTTGGTGAGGTTTACATGCTGGCGGCACCCCGCTTCTTATTTCTTTCCAAATGAGGAAGCATTTTTTAATTTCCAAAAATTAATCATTTAAATATCGACGAAATTTAGTTTCAACAAGATGGCGCAACTTGCCATACAGCACGTTTGACAATCAATTTATTGTGAAATCAATTTGATAACAACTTTATTTACAGAAGTGTTCCTGTTAACTGGAGCCCTCGTTCGTGCGATTCACTAGCTCGCGATTACTTGGGGGCTGTTGGGTCTATGCTAAATCATTGATTTTTGTCAATAAATCAGCAACTCTTGAAGTATTGGAAGTCAATGTTCATGCCACCAATAACGCCATACGATAATATTTACTTACTCGTAAGCCGCGGTTACATATGCCGAAAATCATAATCAATAAATAGATTCCTTGAAATTATCTGCCTGATTATAATAAAAAAAATTTCATTCCAACAATATTTCTATCTTATATTATCATCCGATATATGTTATGTTAATTCCTGATCTTCATCGTAGACTCGTAAAACATTTGAAAAATCTCATAACTATAGTGAGTTCAATTTTATTTGTCTTCGAAATTTAAAACCCCATTTGAATAGTATAAATTGAGCTTTTTCCTTATTAATATTTCGTTATCCAAACCTTTTAAAACTTTAATTGAAAATAAGCTTAATTTTATATGTCTTAGAGTTTGAAAATCTCAGGCTCAGGACATATGTATAGTATAACCTCAACTGTTTTCTTATTCTTATGGTAGATTGAAAATCAAAATCATCATCCAAACCAATAGTAAAACCTCCCAACATATAGACTGTAGGTGTCTGGTAAACTATTTAAAATTAAACTACTTCTACGGGTTTAATTTTAGCTATGTCTGTTAAAATTTCAGAAATAGAATATGTTCGTGATATATGGTATGTTCCACAGATTCCACAGATCAGAGTCTACATCTAAACTGTTTTTTTTTGGTGGTGTTTAAATTTACGGAGATCTATGATTAGTGCAGTTTTTAATAGTATTATATATAATATATATATATCTAATATATTTTTTT